TTGTTCTTGGTCATTACAGGTGTCAGTAACTTACCACTGAAGGTTGTAGATAGGCACAGCTGATATCTGTTTTCAACACAAATATTTCATTTACTTGGGGGTGGGTAGATTCTCTTTTTTAAAAATAGTGTTATTGGAAAGAGATACTTTCAGTCCCTTAATTTTTAGCATATTCTAAATGTATCACTAAGGATTAATTTTATCAGTTTAAAATTATTTTCCCAACTAAATTCTCATTGCCTTTTCCATAGTTTCTCCATTTTTCTAATACTAGATTTTTGTCTTTGATAAAAACATGTTACAGGATTTTCTTTGGGTATTTTAACAACATTTAATTTTACATTTTCTTTATTGCCAATTTTTATAAACTTTTTCAATTTAAAGAAACAAAAACTCTTATATTAATTGATATAAGTTCTAAAGCAATGGTTTAGTATAACAAGCTGGGGGTTTGGGTCCATAACAATAGTTTGTATTGATCTAACTCAGTGAATTCCCCCTAAGAAATAATATAAGTTATCTCTCTGGTGCCTGCCATGTAATAGCCATTTACTTTCATTAAAAAAGTTTTTGATTTATTTATGCTTTCTACATTTTTAGTTGGAGGAAGGAAAATTAATTTACTCATAATTTGTCCTGCAATCAAGTAGCACATACATCTGTCTCAAAACCACCCTGACATCAGGGCAGGTAGACCACTGGTCATAACCTCACCAGACTGACTCAGGTGGGAATAGCTGTGTGGTTTCTGTTTTCTCTTCCCCTGTTTTTATTTCTTCATCGATTATTTATTAAATGTTTATCATGAGCCTAGAGACCATGGTAAATTCCTATCAGAGATGCCAAGATCAAACAGTGCAGTATTCCCTGTAAAGGTGCTGACGGGCGATAGGAATCATTATGATACACAATAGAACATGATGAGCTTATGTCAGGGGTACAGGAAGGGACTGTCAGTTCCAAGGTCAGAAATCGCTTTCACCCAGATAAGACATAACAGACTGTTGAAGAAGTAGGATTCAGACGTGCAGGAAGAAGAAAGAACATGAGCAAAACCACCGAGGAGGGAAGCAGTGGGGCAGAGACAAGTGTGTTTAGTTTTCTTGAGAAGAGCCAAGGTTGATTGGGGGAGAGAAGTTTGAACATGACTGGCAGATGCTGTTTAGCATAGTGTAAAGGCCAGCAAATCAGCGAGTCTGGCCGTTCGTTTCTTGAGCTCTGGGTATCGAGAGTTACCCACATGGTCATCTGTTGTCAAATGTCAGGTATTTGAATGTCTTTCAGGATAGATTAGAAGGGAAAAATTTCTTGGTAAATATAACAACTGATTGTAAAACTTTAGAATTTTTGTTGTTACATTTTTAAAATATAGGATGGCTTGAGAATATACCTAAATATGTTTGAATCTATGATAACTCACAAAATGTGGATATTCCTGAATGTCAACCACTTCACCACCTGAAAGGTGGAGTTACTGTGAGGCTGCAGGGCACAGCTGCCAAGAGGACAGGTGACTGCACCGTCACTTAGAGGCTCAGGGTGTCTTTGCTAGTACTTTAAGTATCTTGTTGTCTACCTGGAAAATAATGTGCAATTATGACCACAATTGTTATTCATAAATAAGATAGCTTTTTAGATTTATTAAAGTGTTGAAAATTTCTCTCCAGGTAGGTTGAGAGTTTTCCATTAAAAAGTAGAAACCTGTCCATTTAGTACACCATTGTAATTCAAAAATACTTTACATTCATATTTTTTTTAATATTATGTTGACAAGCCTTGTGCACAAAAGAATTCTTTGTTGAAGCACAGTGCTGATGACCCTTGACCCTCACACATGGTGCAGACCCCCCACCTGGGGCAGTGGGGAGAGGCAGGCCCTCCTGCGCCTCCCCAGAGAGAAAGTCATCCACATGTTAAACGGTGTGAGCAAAGCGCTGCTAGTTACTTTTATTTATCTTAACTGTTCAAGAACCTGATTCTGTTCTTTGTGGATGGAGGAATTCTAGCACTGAGTCATTCAAGAGAGAAAAGGAAAAAAAAGTGAGAATTTTATGTTCTTCTTTGACCTAACTCAGCTTGAGAAACTAGGAGAAAACTACCAACCTCTGTGGTCCAGCCACTCTCGATGGTTAGGAAGCAGGTCCCAGGCAGCAGACCTCAGAGCACAGACACCAGTGCTGCCACACGGACCCTGACTCTACTTGAAAGGGGCGGGAAAGAGGGGACATATTCCCACCCGGTTCCTGTCATCTGCCCACACAATCAACATAGACGTGAGGTCAGCTGTGCTGATAAACCTGGGCCGGTCGAGGAGAGATGAAAACAGCTTTGAGTGCAGACTGGCCACCTCATCCCCATTCTGATGGAGACAACCTTGAACAAACAGAGAAGGACTGGGGAGCCAATCTAGTTAGTGGCACTAATTAAAGTCCCTGCAGTTGCTAAGAATAACCAGGGCACATGGTTATGATAGGACAATAATTAAGTTTAACATGTGAGTGTCTGCTACCTGAAAGCTGGCCTGGTGAGGCAGTAATGTCATATTAAGAATGATTTCAGGGACATAAAATCAAAGGAGAGCCAAATAACACTTGTTACAACAGGAAGAATCCCCCTTTCTTTGACCTGAAGACAATTTCACCTGAACCCTCTTAGATTAGGAAGCCAGTGCGCCATAGCATTTGAAAGATGTTTAAAAATTCTAACTCTGTTCTCACCAAGACTGACATTGCCCAGCTCTTCTGTTTTTCTTTTCTTTTCTTTTTTTTTTCCTTTGTAATTAACTTGACTTTGACCTCTTTGCTGTGCTTGAGAACCCAGGTTTCTCCTCTTGTCTCATCTCCCGTCTGTGGAGTCAGAATGTGGTGTACCTTCCTGTCTAACACAGATGCCTGCAGGAGGACACCACTGCGGGCAGGGCCCCCAGGGACTGCAGCTATTCCTCACTTGTTACGGATTAGCTTCTTGTAATTTAAATGGAAAAAAAGCAGTTAAAAACAACTTAGTCAAAAGCCTGTGTGGGTGTATCTTCTAAATATTTTTTAGCCTAATTGTTATTTATACCTTTTAAGTGTAAGCCGCCTCTGAAAATGCATGTTTGTGAACATTCCTTGTTAAAAAAGCATGATTGAATAGAGAAACATCAGCTTCATAAGCATTTTTAAATGATATTGCCTCAAAATATGTATTTAAGCGTTAACGTGAAGTCACTGCCTACAGCAGCTTTCCCCGCCCTTTTCAGCCCCCACAGCACACTTAAATTATGTTGATCAAGAAAAGAATATACTTACTGTGCTTGAACTGCTTTTGAAAATATTTTAATTAGGGGCAGCCCCTGTGGCTCAGAAGGGTAGGGCGCCAGCCCCATAGGCTAGAAGTGGCCGGTTCAAACCCAGACACGGCCAAAAAAAAAGGAAATAATTTCATTAATGATTTTAAAAACTTTTTCATGACACACTGGTTGAAAATCACTGTCCTGGAGTGTTAAGATTTCCTAAGTGTGATTACCGATCTTCCAGTGTAAAGCAAAAGCCAACTTTTTCTCTAACCTCCTTAATTTTTGCCAGTTTTACTGCTAAC